CCCCCCAGCCCCACCTTCCCCACCCCTAAATGGATCCCCCCAGAACCCACTCGACTCGACTCCCACTCGACTCACCATCCATGGTGCGGTGATGGAGGTCGTGAGCGCCCGATCAGGATCCCATAGTTCTGACTTCATGAGCCAGTCCTTCAAGCCGCTGGGAGGACCTCAGGCGACACACGAGACGTGCAGGCGACCCAAGTGGAGTGGAGACCGGTGCGGGATGAGGCCGGTGCCGGTGTCGGATGAGCATGGAGAACGTGTGCCGAATGAGTCTATGGCATGAGGACTCCCAGGTGGATGAACATTGGAGGCTCCTGGATGAATTCGGAGCCATTGGAGTCCATGGGAGCGATCTCTCTTGAGCAATGTGGTCACACCTGGTCCCCATAAGTGAAGCTGTTCTGGTCGTCTTGCTCGTGGGATTCGACCTGATGCGGCTTCCAAAGCGGTGCTTCCAAGGAGCCGTTGTAAACCAAATGTCCACAGGCCAAAAACAAGACCTTGTCGAACATGGCCTCGGTGCCGAGAGGGCAAACACCAAGGCGTCAGAGTGCAAACATGAAAAAAACTTTGCAAAGCATTGAGGGAATGCAAGGAGGCTAGAGACAAACAGCGAGAGAGTATTGAGGAAGTATTATTTGAGTTGAATTGGTGTCGATACCCCTTGTGCTGCAGTTCTTCAACCCATCCAACCCATCGCGCTTCGGAGTGAACAGCGAAAACATGCAGAAACTAAACACAGTCACACCTGCAATGAACCACGTCCCAGCGGCCACGATTGCCTGACGCGGCTGATGAATGGTGCAGGCCACCACATGCCCCGCACGTGCCAAAGCGCGGATACTTTCCATGACGCAAAGGGCCTCAGTGAGAGTATGTAAACGTTTTCTCATCCCTGCTCAATGTGTTGAACTGTTGAGTTGTTTGATGGGAACATCAGGATCTTCCAACAATTGTAAAGAGCTTTGGGATCGAAGAGCCAGCCAACCCTCCACGGAAAAGAGTAAAACACAAACCGAGACCCAAACATCTATATATAAATTATATAAAACAAGAACGTGCAGGGACAGGTCTCAGGTATCTTCGCTAATCAAACAAACCATGTCTGCTCAGGTGTACAGCAATCATCCCCTCAGAATCCGCGGGTTCAACATGTTTGGTGCTGTGCATTGGCTCGGTTGGCTTTCTCTGAGGAAATCATATGTCATAGGACATCTGGCCACAAGATATGCAACATGCTTGCACTCCAAACACCTAACAAATCGGAAAGCAATACAAGTTGGGCATACCCATGTACTTCTGTCCCATTACCAGGGCCCAGTGGATGATGATGGTTAGGCTGCAGGGCGACATCCTTAAAGATTGAACATCTTTTGCTGACTGCTACTGGTTTACTGGGTCGCACCTTTAAATACAAGCAACTCACATCCGAATTAGAAAAGCACTTTGCACAGCGCGGCGTTCTTTTGTGTTCACTGTCTCCACTGCGTCCCAGGTGCAGAGAAGGCATCCAATCCACTCGTCGGCTCATCCAAGAAGACCAACGGAGGCGAATGCACCACCCCTGATTGTCACATCTCCCGTCACGGAAACACGAGGACGAGGTGGGTGGTGTTTTGGATGCGCGGTGTTGCAGCAAGTTCCAGCGGAGCTTTGGAGGGTTCACCAACACCATGTAAATACCGGGGTTGCCATTGCCATCCATGTTGAGAACAACTCACACAAATCTAGGGTGTGGCACTGGACTAAAGAATACAGTATATATATATAAACGTGTATATATATATATATACACAGTACCATTAAGAAACATCTGTACATGTTGCCGTATGCTCAGACAGCTTATAGAGTTGCCCCACCTGCTGCGATGTTCAGGCGCCGGCGCTCGCCGCCCGACAGGCCGCGGATGCTGAAGCCGCCGGGGAGGCGGCCACCCACGAACTTGGTTTCCTGGTGCCGGTGGCGACCCCAACGGTGGAGACCCCACCGTTGATCCTGGAGGCTTAACAGACTTAAACACGTGGAGACCCACGAAATTGTGGTGATATCTGCATTGGAATTTGTATACCGTATACCCATATATACCCCAGATGTTGTCACGTGCCACCGTTGAAATTGGCCCAATAAGAAGGCCTATAGGAACAACTCCCTTGGCCACCTGCCACCCGGTCCTTGTCGGCCAATCCCACCGACTGCAGCCGCTCCGACACCGCCCGCGAGCCTCAGTTCGCCCCGCTGCACCGTTGACAACACCCGTCCAGCGAAGCGCAACACACACCCGAGCCGTATACCCTGTTACCCCTGTGGGATGTGGATGGAGCCTCATCAACTCAACCGACCCGCTCTGTCTGTATCTGAATCTCCTCCCTTCTCCTCCACCTCCGAATTTCCGCTCCACCTGAGAATGATTCCGCTCCCTGCTTTGGGCTTCCAAACGCATCTCCTTGGAGACTTGCTTCTGCATGGTGAGCTCTGCATAGAACTCCACCGTCTCACCCACCTGATGCCAATCCCGAAAATCGCAGGTCGGAAAGGCCATGCCCATCACCACCGAGAACCATTCGAATCCATCCATGGCTGTGCCACCTGTTCCAGGCATTGCATC